TTTTTTAATAAATTTTGCAGATATCTGATATCTAATAATATAAAAAAATTGCATAAAAATTTATTACCTTTTATCAATACCACTAAGCACACACTCTACAAGCGGCTGACAATATCGCAGGCAGCTAAATTTCTTTAATTTATCTATAAGTATGGTTAAAACCGGGGTTAGATATCGCTGCTCCATGTTATCCTCCCGTTCCAAGATCTTTAATGAGATAGCTAAGGGTTCCATAACCTTTGGTATTTAAATTTTAGTTATTATAAAAATCTAATTGTATTACTAAAGCATATTCTTTGACAAAGTAACATTCTTCTTGTCTAAACATTGTGAACCCTATTTTATCACAAACATCTTCAACTTCTGAAAACTTTTCAGAAAGCATCTTGTCCATTAATTTAATGGACTGAAAATAAGAGTTCCACCTAGTCTTGTTAGGAGCTATTAAATACCTTCCCAATTTCTGCAATAGAATATCTTTTTGGGGGACATAGTCTGTTTATTAATTAAAGCTAAACATTTAGCAAACGTTGTTCTAGATATTCGCTTATAATTATTATCATTTTCTGCCTTCTCAGCATCTTTGGTTGCAATCAGGTTTCGATTATGGCAACAACAACGTTGATGCTTCGGAAGGCTGATAGGATTATTTGAGTCATCAACAGATAATATGTCATCCAAATTTATTAATTCCATATCCTCACTATCTTCTTCATTTTCTCCAAATACTCTAGAAAAAATAAAAAATTTATTATAAATAATTTTTTTTGTTAAATATAAATATTACTTGAATGCCTTGACAAAGTTGGTTCCATTATCGGTCACCATCTTCACCACCTTATTATGAATTTTATAAGTCTTGTGGATATCCATAATTTCCTTAGCCAAAACATCATATGTTTGCTTTCCTATTATACGCCTCAGTGCCAAAGCTGCTGATCTTCTCTTGAGGGTTAATGGGTCCATCCAATGGACAGTAACTCCAATAAAAGCCCTAAAATAAAATAATTCATATAAATATGATATACCTTCGATGACCACTCCAACAATCAGCAGTGGTTCATACATAGGAGACTTCTGACAAATCTCTTATAAGCTTTGTTGTCATATCAGTAAACGCGGTAGAGATTTTGTTGCCTAGAGTCTGACGACAAATAACTTTTGTCGTGGGGAAAAATGTTTTAATCATTTTCTGGAATGAAGGATCATCAAACAGTGAAAGTGTGTGTCAATAATAAACTCCATGATTACTTTGTCCGCTGTTTTTTGTGATATTGAAGGCATGCTAAGATTATAAAAATTTAATTTAGTTTGTTTCGATCTGCAACCAGGAACAATTTGCTTTTGTAGAGGTGTTTGGCAATCTCATTTTTGAATTCACTATGCTTTTTCTTTATAAAAGAAAAAAATATTATGTAACAGATTTGGATGAAAGTAAATTCCCCTGAATCAAATCATATTTTTAAAATTTTAGATGGAAATTTTTTTAAATATAAGTTAAAAAAACAATGTGTTTAAACAAATAAAATGATAAAGGGTTCAAAACAAATTTGTTATATAAATATATGATATAATATTTATATGGGGTTAAAAAGGTCATATAAATTATCTTAAAAATCCAAGTTTACAATATTTTCTTCTAATATATGATTATCATAATTAAGATTAACACATCAATAAATATATTAATTATTGTAAATAATCCTTATATGCATATTGTATACTCTTCATAAATAATTTTCCTATGATATGAATATAGTGATGCTTTTGGCATTTTAGAACTCATGAATAAAAGGTCAACACAAATATTGTTAAACATATTAAGATATATTATTATTTATAAGTGGTTAAAAAGGTCATGTATAAATTATCTTAAAATACAAAATTTACAATATTTTCTTCTAATATATGATTATTATAATTAAGATTATGATTAATACATAGATAAATATATTAATTATTGTAAATAATCCTTATTATATGCATATTGTTATACTTTTCATAAATAATAAAAATTATATTTTTAAAATAAACTTTTAGATGTCTCTTTAAATTTGAGCTACTAATCTTCGAGGAGGAAATTGCATAAAGAACATTTTGCATAGATCATTGTCTGGCTACTTCCATCCGTTTCACATAGAGTAAAATACTTACGTAAATTATGAAATGGTAAAAGATTCTCATTCTCACCTCTATCTACTGTCATATCAGTAGTACTAGTAGATTATCATCTTCTAAATTTATAATGGAGGACATTATTAAACCCTAGATTTATTTATAATATAATTAAATTAATAAAACTTGTATTTGTAGGCTTTAAATCACTTCCAAAAATTGAAGAAATCAAATTTTTGAAATATGGTGGAATGGTGGTTGATAAAATATGATGTAGATAGATATTTTTTTTTAAATAATATTTTAATTTAATTTTCAAAATTTTTATTTTATTTGTTGCTTTTTAAGTAAAAAATTAATTTTTAAAAGGATCGGGGTCGAATATTTAAGAAAAAGATCTCGATCACGATCCTCAATTTGAGGTCAGGATTCCGAATCCAGGAAAATTGACAAATTTAGGATCGAATCCAGGATCGGCGATCTTTTGATTCGATCCTTTAACAACTCTGATTTTAACCATAAGATGAAAATTGTTAGAAATAATGCGTTAACAAATAAAAATTATATAGGATATCAAGAATTGTAAAATAAATAAATTCCCTGGAATAATTATATAAAAGAATAGAAAATCATTTTTATAAACATTTAAATATATTTAATATTAAATCTATTTTAAATAAATTTTTTACAAATCAAAAATGGCCGTAAATATTTTTGAATCAATGAAAAAATATATAGGGGAAATGTGCCATGAATGGCCATGTTTTTGCTTTTTTGAAAAAAAGGTATTAAAATTTATGTTTAACCAAACAAATTTTATACCAATGTGTAGCCTAAATATTAATCTTTATAATAAAATTTGAATCAAAGCTCTATGTATAATATCTTATAAGCTAAATGAGATTATGTGAAAGTTGTTTTTCTGACCAATGTATTCACTGGCCATATACTATGTGTTAACTGGCCATAATATATTATTTAAGAATTTTATTATAAATATAAAATAATACAATATGAAATACTTGTAAAAGACTTATATTGATATTTCTACATTTTTTAGTTATATAGAAAATTAATTATACACTAATTTAATTAGTATTAAAATCTCAATTTATTACCACATCTATTTAATGATAATATTATAAATTAATATCTTAATTATCATTTTACTAAACATTCTTAATCTTGTTCATCATTTTATTTCACCAAATGTTGTTTTGCAAGAGCTTTTCATTTATATATGAAAATGTGAATGTGCGAATTGAGGCCAGTCAATACCCACCTTTATTATTATTATGCGCCCTATATGTCTATTAGATAAAGCTTTTAAAGTCTAATTTTTTGTGTAAATAATGCTAAATGCCTAATGATAATATTTATATAAAATATCAGTAATCTAAATTAGTAATTTTTTCACCAAAAAAAAATGTATAAGGTGATTTTTCGAGAAAGAGGTACTAAAAACAGTTTATTTGAAATATTTTTTTATTGAATTGCTATATTCAATAAATGAACTTAGGTAAGGTACATATCATAAATATACACATTTTGACCAATTTTGAGAGAAATTGGTCCAATAGATTAAAAGTTAAAGGGTGGTAGCCAGTCTTCAACCATGGCCGTTTATAGCACATTTCCCCTAATAATAGATATTTTACAATTTTAATGGCCGCCAATATATTTAAAACGATGAAAACATCTCTTAAAAATCAATACGGTATTGAACAATACCAAAATATCACTACGGTATTGAAACTACAATGGGTATTGATTTCACAATCTTACACCGCGTTAAAAATAAAAGTAAATTTTTATAAAATTTAATAAAGAATTTGTGAACTTCGATACAAATAGTGATAATCATATAAAATAAAATTGAATTATAACATGTCATGCAAATACTGATATTGTATAATAATTTAATTAAAAAATATAATATATCTCCGGTTAGAAGAGATTGAAGATAGGGATATTAACCGTGACGATATATACAAACAATAACAGTTTAGGTGATTCGCAAATATAATTAGGGTCGAAAAATGAACACATGTCATTTTAAACTATAATTTTTTAAAAATAAGTATATTATTGTGAAATAATTTTTTTTTAATAATGTCTATAATGATTGCGAATTTCAAAAAATACAATTTAAAAAAAGAGGTTTAAAGCCCAAATTAATAAAAATGCATGCCGACCAAAGACCTACAATAAATCGACCGAAAGCCCTCAAAAAAGACATTTAACTGAATTCTTGCCAAAGCCATTTTTTTCCCCAAATTAAAAGAAAATTGTGATAAGAAAATGATCGAATATTATAACATAAATTCGTCGTTTATAACAATACTACTAGAGAAATATTATAAAAACCTATAAATCTTATTTTTATAAAAAAAAAAGCTAATTATAAAAACTAACTGAAAAAAGTATTAGTAATATGCATAGCTTATTTCATGACATTATGGTTTTTTTTACGATTCCGCAAAAATCATGAAGTTTCGAATTCATTATACCCCCAAAACTTACGATATTATCTTGTTACAACAAATGTTTTAGCTTTAACATCCATATGGATTGAACTTTCCATCTTACTCATATCTTATCAATTCTACCTAAAAAAATTTAAATAAAATTAAAATTTACATAAAAGAAATGTTTAACGACTTTTGAAATGAATGAAAATATTGACCTACCCTCTCTTTTTTTAAAACTACTCGATTTTAAAAGATAACCATATTCCATTTGAAAAAAGATTAATGGTTAAGAAAAGGTTTTTAAGAATGAATTTTAATAATGCCATTAGAATATGCAAGTGGTGCTCAAAATTATTATAATAAAATGTTTATTTTGAAAAAAATAATATTTATATATATTCTATTTTACATAAGACGTATTTATTGGATGGCTCGTTAGCTTCCCGTGCTTCAGCCTATTTAGCAGGGCAGTATTTGTCTCGACCAGAAATATTTCAAAAGGAACTCGCAGGGTTTTTATCTTGGGCCGTTCATAACATCCATGCACTTTCTCTTGTTACCAGTATTTATATTTATCACTTACATATAATTAATATAGTCAATTATAAATGAACAAAAATGATTATTTAATATAGATATGCACAATTAAACATATGCCAATGGGTCACATCAACTAAAATAACAAAATTTTTATACTTAAAATGAATGAAACCAGCATGATAGCTATTTATTATAACAATCACCTTGTGGCTGCCTCATAAAATAAAATATATTTACAACATAATGGGAATCGAATTTGTCTTATACTATTTTAAATTTTACTTTAATTCTACATAAATAAATATTTTGAAACTATTCTTTATATTATCAGTTTTATAATCTCTGAATTTTTATGCACATTAATAAATCTCCCCCAAAATATCACGTAAAATAATACCAGTGGAAAAAATTCCAAGGAAAGGAAATCCCTAGGATAAATATTTAGCGGGAAACCCATTTTTTGAAATATAAACATCCTGAAACATATCTATGTAAGGATAGACTCAACCCCTTTCCTACATCCCTAAGCTTGTAATGGGGAAAATAGCATATAGAAAAAAAAAACTCGACCTAAATAATGATGGGAAAAACATGATGGAAAAAACTGAGGGAAATTTTAATAAAAAAACTGCCGGTAAATAAACTTTAAAAATACTATCTTAAATAAAGTGGGGAATACATTTTTCGATTAGAATATTTCTATTAGAGTCCTGCATCGGATTTATTTTGTTTGGTCCGGTTCGAGATTTATAACTATTTTAACCACCGATCCAATCCTATATTTTTTTTAAAAAATTATTATTTATGAAATAGACCCGAAAAATATATTGAATTTTTGAAAAAGTAATGATAACAACAACGAAAAAATTATAAGTTCTCAAGAATTTTTCTTAGTTTCTTGAAAGGAATATTTATAAAAACATTAGGAAAACAAAATAATTTAATACCTTTTTGTCAAGGTGAGAGAATATCTATCCCAGTCAGACTGATTTGAGTTCCGTTAAATCGATCCCGGCAGGGCTCTAATTTGAAGGTTTCAAATAAGAAGTATAAGTTCTCCTTAAAATTTGTTTAAATATATTTAATCTAGTGGAAAACATTTACACGGTACGATCCATACTTTTAGCTTTATCATATACATTCAAATATGGCGGAAGAGATGATATGCTACCCTACGGTTTTTTTAAAAATTTTGTAATATTTTTATTTATTATCACAATGCGGCCTTGGTGACCTAACTGGAATGATAATTATAATATTAACCCCTGTGCATAATGGTAATTGCTTTAATGGGTAAAAAAAACGGATAAACCTAGTTCTTAACCAAGAACAATTACCTCAATCTTGGGTTTAAACAAATATAGCTTAACTTTGAAGAGAGCATAAATAAATTAACTCGCACATCTATGCATAGTCTTCTTCATTAAACACCTGTAGATTGAGCAAAATTAGCTGATTTTTAACCATTTAAATTTTAAAGAGATTGTTTTCAAGCATCTTTAACTTTGAAATGAATGTTAATAATTAAACCGAAAATTGTAACGACAAATATGAATATTACAAATGGTAATGATTTTACGGTATAGACATGGTATTATTTATAATTAAAAGTATTGAATGATACTGACCAAGACCGTGGTATCGGTGCCTTGTTGTACAATGCCCTTACCAATATTTACAAGGCTTAGATTTTATATGGCAATTATCTTTTTTTAGTGTTTAAAAAAACATCATTTTTGATAGATATAATATGCCTGGTCTGATTTGGACCAGGATTTTATATTTACAAGACCTGCTTACGAATCATGAACACAAAAAGAATTACGCATTTTGTTCCAACAATAATGAACAATTATTCGATTTGAATAAAACGAATTATTCTAAAATTTGTTTTTAAATATCAATTTTACATAAAAATATTGAAATTTGTTATATGATTATTTACAAATTATATTTTAAAGTTTCCTTATAGGGCTTTAAAACTTTTTATAATAATATCCGCTTTTTTTGAATCACAAATTTTATTTAAAAAGGAATGTAATAAAATATGATTAATTTTTTTTAAGAACCTCATTTGTGGTAACTTGCATAAAAATAATCTAGCATAATTATGGATAATATAATTATTCTGATAAATTAATTAACCCTGATGATCAAGTGTTAACAAAAAGTCTCCCCTCACCCTCCCCCCCCCCAAAAAAATAGTGATCATTAACTATGAAAACAGTAAAAAATTGTGAAATGGCTGCTTGAATCATTGCAAGAGTATTATGAAATTTAAAGTAAGAATAGGATCTCTTTTCAATCATTATAAAATATTCCATTTTATTCATACCTAAATGAAAGGATTTACAGTAAAATTGATTTTTACCTAAATCATCAACTTTATTTTATCCATGAAAACTAATTTGGAGATAATTTGTTAAAAACTCTTTCTTTACTCAATATTAAAAATATATCATAGCCATATGACCTCTTTTTGATCGCTATTTAATAAATAATATAGAATTTAAACTGTAGATTCAAAGATTTCGAAGAATTTATAAATAATCGATATATTCATTAGTAAGGTCAGTATACCCCAACACTCTTATGCATGTGCATGTTACATTTTGAGAAAAGAACTATTGGTAAAGAACATAATATTCAAAAATAAGAGTCAGATAATTTTTATATTTGAATCAGTTCAGTTCAGGTTCCCTTTTTAGGACTAAACAGTCTATTTATTGATCAGTTTAAACTATTAAAAAAATTTGACAATATATTTTCTTATTAATTATTTTATAATAATTAAGAAAACAGATTTGAATATATCGAATCGAATACTAATAGTAAATTTTATTATCTGTACGAAAATCAATCGAATACAAATCATCTAGGATTATATAATTTTTAAAGAGCAAAATAAATATGAAGTATCAATTTTTTAAAACCCTAATCGTTATTTTCATTTTAAAAAAACAAAAAAAAATTATAAACACTGTAAATGCTACAGCCAAAGATATGTTAGAGAAATGTCTGCACTTAAATCATATTGTGTCTTCTGATCAGGTTATCATTCGTAAAACATACTTAAAATTGTTGCAAAGATTAGCTATAATTATATTAAACCCGAATTTGGCCATTGAAAGGTAAAGCAATATATTTTTTACTTTTGATTTAAAAAAATATAATTTAAAACAACTTTAGGCATCACAGAATAAACAATCAACAAATTTTACACATTAAAGGTAAAAGAAAAGACCGTGATAATTCTCAATTGGTTCAAATAGGTGATTTAATTACAATATGTTTTTATTTAAATATCTTCCTTGGAATTTTTCTTTTTTTTATTTGAGAGTAACTAAATCTCATGAAATTAAAAAATAAATTGTTATTGATTAAAAATTCCATAGAATAAAATTTTTGATCAAAAAATTTAACACTTTTATAATTTAATTGTAGATGATGTAAATCCAAATATCAATGAAAAGGAACCCTTTTCTAAAGAAAATTTGGTTCGAGATAACGACCAAATTCCAAAAGCAATTGATGTCTCGTTTAATATCATCCAAGAAACCTTAGGTCGAGTATTATTTGAAATATTATATTTAATATCCATATAAATATATAAATAGCCAAAGGTGTTATGTTTTTCATATTAACGATATCAATTATATTTAAAGGTTACTAAACTACAAAATATCAGTATGCACATTTACTTTATTTAAGCGTTTATTTTATCACTTTTTTTGATAAATATATTTTCCATGTCTAACAAATTTTTGCTACATAGTTGTACAAGTCAATTTTCCCCTGTCTAACAAATTTTAAATGTAAATACATACTCGTCTTCGATTAGTTTATTGTGTTTTTTGAATGAGTCTATGAGTCATCATCCGAATTAAATAAGCAGGTTCGATTTTTACAGCATAGTAAATTTTTTTATATGGCTGGGTATTTAGCTGTTCAAATATTGTAAATTAAATTTTTATATGTATTTTTTTTTAATAACGAATTCGTTTTTGTTTTCAAAAAAACGTTTTATTGTTACAATATTAATTTTTATTTTTTAATCATTTAAAATTTAAAAATACAAGAAATTTAACAATACATATATAAGCAATAAAGCATTTATGACAATTTTTTCAATGAAATATAAATTTATTATATTGAATTTTGTGAACAAGATGGAGAGGGTTGGACACTTGATGCGTGCTCATGAAGTTGATGTTCGAAGTAAGATATCATTTTTTGCTCAAACATTTAACATTCTCACACAGGTTATATTATGATTCATTTGTTTGCTGCTACTTGAAAAAAAAGAAATGCTTTGAGCAAAAAATACATTTATGATCGCAGATTGCTCTGATTTCTATAAACACTATGTAGTTGCCTACTCTCGTGCAAGATGCCCTCAAAAATATAATTAATATTTGTATATAGATCTATCCCCTCTTTCTATTTAATCCTCACCTGATTTATATGTACATCCGTTTTTCAACAAAAACCATTTCGCCTTAAATAACCCCCTTTCGTTTTTCAATAAAATGGTTAAACTCAACCAGGTAAAATTAGGCTATATGGAGAGATTATAAATGATGTTAGGAGCGGCCCGGTTTAACATACAAGAAAAACCGGCAGGAATGCAGCAGGGGTACCATACCTCCAACCAGCGACCAAGGCGATGCTAGGCTTTTGCGGGAGATCACCTCATGAGATACTGTACCAAATAAATTATGAAGGCTAACAGCATACCATTGATGACGGTGCAAGACAGGAGCATAGGTTGATGAATCACCAGGGTACGAATACATCTCCATATGAATAGGTTTTCTCAGGGAAGGGGTGTTGCAAGTATGCAGAGAGTTTTTCTGAATCAGATTGTTTTTTTTATTATTTAGGCCACTTCCAAACACGACGTTTTTTCAAAACGTTTTCCAAGGCACGTTTTTCGCAATATTTTTTACTTCCAAACAGCAACGATTTATATTTTACAGCTGATTTTTTAAAAATGAATCTTATAACTAGATATTTTATTATGAGACATTATAAAAAAAACGAAAAGTATAAGTGTAATTTATAAAGAAAGAGATCTGTATCTACTTTCTAAAGCTATAGAGTGTTCAGTTGAAAATGCTGATAAAATTATATCACAATTACTCTTTTACATAATGTTATTATTGATTATGATAAAATAGAATATACACCTAATATTTTACCTATTACTGAAAATTTAGGGATCAGTAGATCTTTAAATGCTTCAAGTTCTAATTCAAGAGAAATTAGAAAATTATTTAAAGACTATTTTAATTCTTAAATATATGTTTAATTTAACATTTTATCATTATATATTAAATAAATAAATTACTTTTGTATGTGTATATAAATTAATAAATTACTTTTGTATGTGTATATAAATCACTTATGTATGTGTATATAAATCATTTATTTTAATTTAAACTTATAAAATAATACATAACTATTTAAACATCAACATTTTCTACTATAATATTATTTATATAATTATAAATAAGAGTTTGCACATTAATTTTCATGGCGTCCTTAACTTCATTTGGCACCTTCTTTACATTATCAACCAAAGACAGGCACCATAATCTATCTGGGTCATTATCTCAAAATATCTTTCCATTTGGTCTTTTGTTACTCTAGCCCTTTTTACAGGTCTTACATTCTCTATATTATCTGTGATATTATTTAGTGTCTTTCTTGGTGTGGTGAAAGTAGTAAGAAATGATAGTGAATCATACCATTTCCATGGAGTGCTAGCTTTTGCAGCATCCCCTGAATGCACTTCTTCTCTCTTTCTCTTTTCCTTTAAATAAGAATCCCTCAAATTCTTCCATTTTAATTTACAGACATTTGGGGATGAATCAAGCCTGGTAAATAATAAAGGATAAAAAATAATTTTATTTTTATAAAGATATAAATTATTAAAATTTATATTCCATGCTTACTAATAAATAGTATCTAATTAAAAAGTCTGTTAATTAAAAATTATTATTATAAAATAGTCAATATTTTCAATATAAAGTCTTGTTCTACTTTTTAGCACATAAAGTCCATATTGGTTCCATAAATCGTCATGATCTTCTACAAAATTTATCAATTCAGATACAAAATTTCCTCTAAAATCATTTCATTTATTGAATATTAAAAATTACTTATTCATTTCAAATGTATCAGACGCCATTTAATAGTTAAAAAAAATCAAGCTAGTTTGTTATTAAAATAATCGCAAAATCGTATGCATGAAAAAATCGTTTGGTTTGGAAGCACACATCTATTAAGCTTAATTTGTTATTTATCGCTTTGAAAAAACGTCGTGTTTGGAAGTGGCCTTATAGATTTTTTTAAATCTATTTACATAATAAAAAATAAATAAATTTATTATGAAATGAAATAAATTTTTAAAATTTTAACTCCATTTTAGAGGATCGGATTGGAAAATTTTATAATATCAGCCGATAACGGAAATTTTAAAAAGGGTGTAAACCTCGATAAAAACTATTGGTACATGCCTACTTTCTTTTGCGATAAAGATGCTGCCTTTTCGATATGGATAGCGTTTTCATCTTTTTGATTTTATGATCCAAAAATATAAAATCATGAATAGAAACCATCTTTTGGTCTAAATTTTTTTTTAAGAGTTGTCTTTAATATAACTTTTCGGATCATTTAATTGCATCGATAAAAACTCATAAATTTTATTTTCCTAAGGAAAACTGAAGATATTGTGCAGATGGTATCCGATCGCATTGAATACTGGCATCTAATATTTTAGAAAGTATTTGTTTTGTTATCCCCCTCCTTCCTTTCTTCAAGTACTTCTATGGTATTTACACATATTTTAGATTTTTTATAAAATCAATGATCTCTTATTTTTACATTCTAATTATAAATCTAAATAATATGTATCTTATAAAAAAAATTTTAATTTAATTAAAAATTTGTATTTGTTGTATTGTATAAATTTGTTGTATAATATTTATTTATTTTTATATATCCTCCAAGTAAAATGGTATTTTCTTAATATGGTCGAAACTCGAAGAGTCATAAAAATATTATTAGTATGGGGGGGGGGGGAGAATATGGCAAGCTGGTGTTTTCAAAAATATAACCCTATTAAACAAGGATGACTAACAATTCAATCTTCTACGCTACATTAGTATGCTTTTTAAATTTAACAAAATTAGGTCAAATTATAATTATTTAAAAAAAACCGTGCTGTGTCGGGCACCTTTTAAAAATATGAAGGGCACAAGACTGGGCACCCTTAGTATAAAATAGAAACTGGTCCGACAAAAAAATTAAGAGGTCGGACAGTGCAAAAACGAAATATCAACCGGGCCGGACCTGGAAATTTTGCAATTTGCAGACCTCTGTTCATAATAATAAATAATTGAAACTTGAATAAATTAAATATGTTCTTGGCGTTAAGTATTAATCTAGTGATAGAAAAGATTCGTTCGTTAGATGTACTTGTTGCAAGAACTTATTAAATCGATTAAAGTTTAAAAAACGATAATGAATTTTATTTGTAATTCTTTTGGTATATATACATTTATATAATTATCCAATTTAACTTCTAATAATATGCAATTTGATTAACCTCGATAATATAATATTACATGTCGGAAAGTTATAATATAATATACAAATAACGTCCTTTTAAAATATATAACGTGACCTTTTAAAATATATCTTAACCTTCACAATAATAAATATTCAGATATAACTTATCATCTTTCCCACCAAGTTAAGATCGTCTACCAATCTTTTTATTTACCAAGTTCAAGTTCATCTATTAATCTTTTTGTTGGCTTTTGGCCTTCCTTTTTGACTTGGTTCATTTGTTATTATTGATTTACTTACGTCTGGTTCTTCCCTTATTCGTAGTTGGTCAGGATGTTTTAATACTGTTTTGTACGTTTATTTTTTTCTTCTTTTCCTTCTTCCCTTTTCCAGGATTGTGATGGCGAGTGTAGTTTTTCGACCAATTGTTCCCACCATCACTCTTCGCTTGTTATTTTATCATCACTTATCTGTAGATCTATAGCGATTTTTGCGATTCGTTAGTAGAATTATTCTCAATCGTAGTTTTACGTACCACTACCATTGGAGTATTCCAGGTTACTCTATATAGTTTGTCAATATTTACCATTATTATATTGATCATTTAATTTCTACATGTTGGTAACGATAAGTTAAATTCTATAATCCCTGAAAATCCAAATAGGCTATGTCAAATTTTATAATCCACGGAAATCCAAATAGGCTGTATCAATCATTTTGATAGTGCCCTTTATCATTATCATAAATTCTATAATCCATGGAAATCTAAATAGGCTGCATCAATCATTTTGATTGTGCCCTTTATCATATAAATTCTATAATCCATGGAATCTAAATAGGCTGCATCAATCATTTTGATAGTGCCCTTTATCATTATCATAAATTCTATAATCCATGGAAATCTAAATAGGCTGCATCAATCATTTTGATAGTGCCCTTTATCATTATTATAAATTCTATAATCCATAAATAGGCTGCATCGTGCCTTTATCATAAATTCTATAATCCATGGAAATCTAAATAGGCTGCATCAATCATTTTGAGAGGTGCCCTTTATCATTATTATAAATTCTATAATCCATGGAAATATAGGCTGCCTCAATCATTTTGATTGTACCCTTTATCATATAAATTCTATAATCCATGGAATCTAAATAGGCTGCATCTATCCTTTTGGTAGTGCTTTTTATTATTATCATAAATTCTATAATCCGTGGAATCTAAATAGGCTGCATCTATCCTTTTGATAGTGCCCTTTATATCTTAAATTCTATAATTTTGATTAAGTTTAACGGTTGGTCTTCGTCTTTAGTATCTGGGTATCGTAAACATAGTTCTACGGCGATTAATTGATCGCCAATTCTTATTTCTACGTTATATTCAAATTCGCATCTTCGAGCTAGCTCCTTTATATATATTTTTTTTTATATATATCATTACGGATTCAGTAGGGCCGCGACTTAATCTAATGAAATTAATTGCTCCTCTATCAATAGAAAACTTTGAGGATATTTTATGTGTTTATAGTCGTCAGTAGCCCATTTATCTCATTCATCTTTTATCCATAATTGCTAAATCAATTTATTTATTTATTTTTTAACAAAAAAAAATTATAATTTTATATAATATTTAACTTGACCGAAGACCGAAAACCGCGCGACCTTTTACCTCGTCGCCAAATATTAAATCGATTAAAGTTTAAAAAACGATAATGAATTTTATTTGTAATTCTTTTGGTATATATACATTTATACAATTATCCAATTTAACTTCTAATAATATGCAATTTGATTAACCTCGATAATATAATATGCAAATAACGTCCTTTTAAAATATATAACGTGTCCTTTTAAAATATATCTTAACCTTTACAATAATAAATATTCAAATGTAACAGTACTCAAAGAACTTTTCTACCTATTTTTTTGAACAGCAACAGGAAAACAAGTGAAGACTCGTAAAACTTCTAAAAGGTTATGAGTAGAGTTGTTTTTTTCGGATCTTATTCATTAATAGGTAAATAATAATTTATTATAGTATGCATTTTATCTACTCAAAAATCTTACCTTCTGCCTCAATGTGACAACATGCAGTCTGTTATGAAGTATGTTAGGATGGAATGCGTTCTAGCTATTTATCCAATATATGAGCTTAATGTTTGTGCCATTATAATTATCTCATTTCATGCATTTCGATCCTTATCAGCATTTTATATGCTTAATTAAAATTTTAAATGGCTTAAAATAAAACTTGTATCAAAAATATTCGGAAATCATATTCAAATATATCTTGGATCAAGTTAATTTATATAATAGTTTACAATTTAAATCAATTATACCTATATTATTTTTCTTTATCTTTTTTTAGTGAAATTTTAAGCAATCACTAACAAATACAATCATGCGTTATGATCCTTTTCTTGTTTTCTTTCTCAATTAGTTTATCGAAGTATCCGTATTACGGATTTTATTATTATTAGAGAGCATTTTTATTTTATAGTTATAAACAGGGTGTTTTGATCCGTTTGAGTCCATTAAAATTTATTGTACGAATGAATGATTTGAAATGAAAAGTTATATGGTATGGGATTAGATATAAAAAATAATAATTTATTATAATGGAAATAAATTTATAAATACAAAAATATAATTTATTCGCATTTTAAAAATTTTCCACACCTCACCTACCGTATTAAATTGGCGGCGAGCCTATCAGCGCTGTTCATCTCAAACGATGATCTTTTAGGCATGGCTAAAAATGCCTGTGGCGTCAACGCGCAGGTCTATATCCAATATATTGAAAAATGCTCTGACCTTTTACATATTTTTTTTATAACAATAAGAAGTTATATTTACATTTTAGAATCTCTTAAACTCAATGCGTTTTCATAAAACTAATTTAAAAGAAATATTTTTACCGAGTTTTTATTAACTTTTGGGGAATAAAAAAAGAAAATAACTCTAGAAACGGAAAATTTTAAAGTTTTTTTTTATTAATGTAAATATTAATATCGGATTGGAATTAGTTGAAAGATTTCTGAATTACATTAGCCCTATAAATATATTTAAAACATCAAATATCTAGACATCAAATATCTAGTAATTACGGTTCCCGCTAAATAGATTTACTTATATTAATTATTATTAAATTTTGCACAAAATGTTTTACTATAAACAAAACTTTTCATAACTATATCAAAGAAAATATTCCCCCCAAATGGGATATAACACTTAAAATGGTTAACTGAACTACACCCCTAACCGCTAATATTTTTCTAATCTCTTCAGAGGTCGTGCAATAAAATTTCTAACTTTGTACATTTTACTGGTTTCAATTATATTTATTTATGTTATAGTACCAAAGTATTATATAATACATTTATTCTATCCGTACGCAAAACATTACATATGGTGGTTTGAACATATTTAAAATGTAATCAAATATTTGGTTCATTTCGAATAATTCAAATAGTAACAAATACTAATTGAAAATCATTTAATTCTTTCAAATATGAATAATAAATTATTTGATTTCTTTAAAAATGCATATTGTATAAAAATTAGAGACCTGCAGAGGTTGAAATTTCAGCTGATTTGAAAAAAAAATTAATTTAAATTCTGGCCCTAAATTTATTTTGCCCCAGCCCGGATTTAGATTTTTGATAATGGCCCGGCCCGGAACTTTAAAAATGTCTTTATTTTAAATTATTTTGGCCTTATTTTGCAAATGTTTCCATGAGAAATTGAATTTTTCGACTGATTGATATAATTTTTTAAATCCGCCCGAATTTTTTAAGTCATCATTTTTTTGACCCATATTAGGTTTATGACCAGATCGGTTTACAGGCCTTTGGTAAAATTAAAAGATCTACTAAACTATTTATTATTTTCTCATTCTTAATTTTCATAATATCCTTCCTTACTCAAATTTTTTAAAAATTTTTTTACCTTTTTAAAATTTATCGCATATTTTTGCACATTTATCTTAGAAAATTGCATTCATTGCACATCTATATATTTTATCAATATATATTTAAATCTAAATATATTTTATTAATATGAATGTAAAGAACACCTTATAACTGGATTGAGTGATGTTGATATGGATGTAAATTATACCGCTGCTAAAGGGTAATACTTGATAATTTATTTCTTTTTATATAATAAAATATTAAATTTTTTTTAAAATACAAGAACTTTCTATTCCTTTTTCAAACATTAAAACTAATTTTAAAAAATATATAATAGGAACAATTTTAAAAAATGAAAGAATGGAGAACATGGTTAAAATTAAAAGGAAAGTCCTAATAAGTCATAAATGTTCACGTAATTTAAACGACAGACCTGACCTCTATTGAGATATTCTATCTGATATAAGTTAATTGGGATCGCCTAAATCTTGGTATATTTTTCACCCAAGGATATATGAATGTGGCCTCTTCACCATAAATTCCTATAAAGAAACGAGAATTTTAGTAAAGTGATAAGGAGGCAGGGGCACCCCCCTCCCTTCCCCCGAAGGCCTAATATTGACAGGTGGGAGGCACACAAAGGGCAGTGAGGACACAGCCCTCTACATATTACCAAGTATAAACGGGTGTAAGCCCACAAAGGTCAGTATGGAGGACGCAGCCTTCCACAATTTGCAGCTAACAATAATTAGAGATGTAATATATTTTTATATACCTTTGAGTTGTGTGTAAATTTTAATATAATTTATTATGAGATTCAAAAAATAAACTTTTCGTGAGATTCAAAAAATGTGGCAAATAAAAATTTAAATTTTCACTTCAGAAATTTTTAAATTTGTGCTAGAATTTTTATAAACATAAACACATCACCTGTCAGATTGGCAGGTCAACAAATAGAAATGACTAATGTTAGATTTATTAAACAATTTATTAAATATTACGAATAATTCGTTTTATTCGAATCGAATAAATGATTATTCGTATTCAGATAAAACAAATAATTTCTTATTCTTAATTATTCGATTCGAATCGAATATTCGAATTATTTTTTAATAGGCCTATTGTTCATATTACCCAGGATGTGGAAATCATTGATTTAAATCAAATTCTTTAATTTCAACAAACAATAAACATCAAAATATTACTTATAAATCACTTCACATTTTACAAATAAATTTTTAATTTTATTTAAACTTATTTCACAGTTTAATAAGTGAAAATTGTTTAATGGCCTTTCCTATCTTTAAAAATTATTATAAGCAGACACGGAACTAAGGGATTTTTGTGTTTCGTTCCTATAAAATAATAGTTAATATATAATTTATAAAAACTATACTTTTTAGAAAATTAACTCTGAATTTTTCTTTGTGATCCAATTGTGTCCTACTCTGCGTACGTTGGGACACCTATATGTGATAGTTGGTTCAGACATAAAATAGAGGACTAAATAAAAACAAATTTAAAAATCGGTTATGCTTTAAGACTAGAGACTAGTGTTGTTAAAGTAACTAGTTACCTATATTTTTGATAAAAAATAACTTTAACTAGTTATATTTTAAAAATTGTAACTAGTTCTAAAAATATGTATGTATAAATCTAAATAATATATTTAAATAATTTATTTTATTTTTAATATGTGAATTGATCATTTATTAAAAGAATATTAAAATTATAATTAATACACTATATTTATAAAAATATATAATTAAAAGAAGAGAAATAAATAAAATAATATATTTAGGTTTGGTCGGCGGGGCTTAATGACCCATGTATATATACAGTTGGATCGACAAATTTATTGATATTTTTTATCCTAGGTAGAAGCCATATTTTGGATCACCTGTGATTAAACGTAACCTTTGCCTTATTATTTTGAATAATTTTAGGGCTTGACTACCCGAACAAACAAAAGATTATTATGGTGACTATATTTATTTTTTGTATTTTCAGCTTTAGTGAGGGAGTTAACAGTAAAAGATCTGGCAAAACGATCTAAACATGTATAATCCCAAGCGAGGGGTAAACCTTGGTTCCAAGGGACTAGCTTTGTGCTAAATTAATTTTAAATTAAATTTAAAATTTTGTTTAAATGTCTGATTGTGTTCGCAAAGGATATGTCCAAATAGATTTTCTTTTCTTAAATTGTTGCATTGCTGGGTTTTATAATTATGTAACCAACAAGTAATAAACCTATTTTTTAATATTATATTTTCTTACAATTTTAGCACAATATTTTCTATATTTTGCCCGTTGCTAGCAATATTTATACTCTGGAATTACATAAGTTATAAATGTATTTTTTTAAAAATTTTATTAAATTAGAGCATATAACTTAGTATAAGGAAAAAGATAGATTATTTTGGAAATAGTTTTTTTATAAAATGCTAAATTAGTCATCATTACTTACTAATTAGAAAAGACGATTATGAAAGAAAAACAAATTTAATTCTTTTGAAAATTGGGGAATTATATAGGGTATTTTTGTAATGGTCTTATTGTTCAGAATTTTTTTGCCTTCCAAAAAAATATGTAAATTCTATGATCTAAAGTGTTTTCCAAATTATACAATAGGATGCATGCATATATAGTTAAATAAAATATAAATTATCTAATACCCTTCCCTTATTATTCTTATTATCACATTTTTCTTGAAGAAAAAACTCCAGTATCCGTTCTATTTGAATTAACATTAAAATATATATAATTGCAATAAGTTTAAAATAAATATTTGCAACAACTGTATATATAAATATCATATTTTCAAATATTTGAGTGAAAAAATCATTAATTCTTAATACATAACCTAAAACCCATTTTTAGAATTAAAAGACCATTTTAAAATTTATAAGAACCAGAAAGTAACTTAATGTAACTGTAACTAATAACTAGTTTCATTTATAAAAATGCAACTAGTAACTGTAACTAGTTATGTTTCAAAAGTAACTTTAAAAACTTTACTAGAGACTAATCATTTTTATTTTATTAATAATATTGTGATACATAACAAATAAGTATATAAAAATAATTTTGCAAATCTTGGGAAATTTATAATATTTTTGTAAAAAAATTATTTTTTTTTACATAAATAAATATTTAAACACAAATATTACACATAAAAAAATTATTTAATTTGACGCAACATCCATATGCCCATTCTACTACAACTTCTACATTGGTTACTTTTCTTATTTTTTTATAATCCTAATATATCCATTTATTTTATTTTTTTTAACTTCTATATTGGTGGTTGATATCGACTGCTTTCCATTTTTTGCAATAATATTATTACTTAACTGGAGGTAATATAAGTTTTGATATTTTATCTCTACTTTTTTTATTATTTATTTTTGAAATAATAGAGCGAAGATGTAAATATTACAAATGCTATTTATATTTCTCACTAGTTCTGGTAGTGGATAAATATTCTAATATCAAATTATGATTTATCTTTCCTGGAATTCCCCTTCCAATTTTAACAAAGGCACTCTGAACAGCACAAAATTTTAAGATTACAGCGCTGATTTTTCAAATTACATATTCATACATGGGGATTTAGCTAAAATAAATAAAAATTCTGGGGAGCCTCGTGAAGGCTTTTACCTAAGACAGAGGATAGCCATTCTTATGGCGTATTATGTCTGTTTTATTAATTCAATTTCCACTGGTCATTAATATTCTCCCTCATAAAAAAACAAATCTTCCCTTTACAAAATTTTTTTTTTAAAAAAATTTCCTCTCATAAAAATAAATTTTAATTAACACAATATTATTTTTATTTTTTATAGAAAATAGATTTAAATTTTATAATTGAAAACTAAAACCTTTATTATACAATATTAATTTCCTAATATAACAGTTAAAATTATTTAAAATATATATTATAATTTTTTTAATAATCTTAATTTTTAAAATCAAATAATACCATGCGTAAATATTTCTATGTGAAGCTAGTTAGAATAAAGAAAACAAAAAAGCGAATAATTATGAAATAGCCATTATATATAATTAACAATTATGTAAAAAGTAAATTTTTTGATTATATTTTTCAGTCCTGAATCATTTCGGAAACGTTTCCGAGATCATCGTTCCCTTTTCTTTACGTTCGATAATTTTTCCCAAGTTCCATTCCCAGAACGAGTCCGAAACGCTCCGTTTTATGTTCCTGATTATAACATCAAATTTTCATTAACCCTCTTATTCACGCCAGGCTAAAATATAACCCACCAATTTTTCCAAAATTTTGCACAATAGTACAAAATTTAACTCACCTTAAAATGGATTTTATTGTTACACATGTTTAAAACATTATTTTTTTATAAAATAAATAAATGATATTTATTTAACATTTTTTATAAAAAATCTCTTTAAAATTCGCCATTTTGAAATTTTTATTCGTATTTGTTTCCAGATTTTTTCCCAAACGGATATTTTAAAAATTCATATTTCTAAAAGTATTCAATTTGGTGAGCTAATATTTTATATATATAATGCTTATATATTAATTTATATATGTATATCATTTTTTTAAAATATAATACATCCTATTTTTAATAATTATATTATTTATAATGGGTTTCTATGAATCCCACTATGCAGAATGTCATCATGAAAGTATTATATTGATGAATCCTTTGACTCGGAAAATAATATGCCTCTTGTAAATTTTACTAGCATTAATTTATTAAAAAAATTAAGGCAGAGAATGATTTATGCTTGTGGCACAGTAAATTCTAGACTAAAAGGTTTACCGAGCAGAAAAAAATGGTTAGAGGCTAGCATGATTGGATGATAAATGAAGATGGTATCGTTGCCATTAAATGGATGGATAAACGATCTGTTCAACTTCTTTTGAATTTTCATAACCCAGCTGATGACGTGGAGATCGAAAGAAAACAGAAAGATGGCAATATAATTAAAATAAACTGTCCCAAAGCAATATGTGTAAAATTTTGTCCACGTCTTTTTGGTTATAGAACAATTTTTCGAATATGAATTGTATTGATGTATTTGATCAATTAAAATCATATTATGAAATGAATAGAAAAAGTAACTAATGGTATAAAAAAATAATCTATTATTGATACAGGTATTATTATTTTATCAAAATACTAAATTATCTTTTAGCTATAGTTAACTCATATGCAATATGATTTATAAACC